CTTGTTACATGCATCTATATATTGTACGGTGGCTGATTTAGGACACGCAAAAAAAAAATATGTCGAGCGCTCTAGATACTAAGTCGAGCTCTCGAGATAGTTAAGTCGAGCGCTCGAGATAATTAAGTTACACGCACACTCCATCCCATGCTCATCACCACCACTAAATACTTCCCGTTATATTTACCCCCTTCCCAATAGGGAGTATATCGCATGTTATTATACGAATCAATAATTGTATATATCGAGACTGACATTTCCTCTTATCTAGAAGCTCAGGTCTGATCCAAGGTTATTTATTTCATATGTAGGAACTGATCATTGCCTAATTTACCCTGGCGCAATCGTGCCGGGCTTCTACATTCAATACCCTCGCCCTACAGGCTGCAATTCTTAATCGATCATTTTGAAAACTTTTCATACTTATTCCTTATACCCTAAAGATGACCTCTATCATTTTTGGTATATACCGGAAAACACCGGGAAACACAGGAAAACACCGGAAAACAACCGGAAAACACTGGAAAACAACCAGAAAACACCATTTTATACTGAATACCGGAAAACACCAGAAAAACACTAAATACCGGAAAACATCATAAATACCGGAAAACACCCTAAGTGTGCGGTTTTTGGACCAAGTGAGCGCCGATGAAGGAAAGTCAAGGTCATTACGATGTTCGTTTTACAAATAGCCCAATTGTCCATGAGAAAACTACATATTCTATCTTACTGCATTGACGGGAAGTGGTAAGCTGGACGTCTGTGAAAAGGGTTGATCGATAAATTTTCAAGGAACAATTGTTGTTTTTGTTTGTGAAATAGAGGACTCTAGCCGATGAGGCTACTTTCCCCCCGAGAACCTCAGGCAACCAATTTGTTTTATGTACTACTATCGTAATAAAAAATTACTATGTTAACATCTTCCTGGTGGCTGAAGACTTACACCGAATGCGTATTCGGAAAAAAATGTCCCCGAGAAAATGTTTTATCAGACAATCGATATTCGAGATGTCTTCTGTTGCACAAATTATGCTGCACTGTGTAAGAACTTGCATCCTTTGATCTGAAGATTGTAGATGGAAAAGTATCATTTGCACTATTTCAAAGTAAACCTGCATTTTCGTATATCATCCCGTATTTTGTGATTAATCGCAATGACTGTGGAAATAATATGGGTTGAGGAACGAAAGATCTATGGTCTTCACGTGACTGGACAATTCCACCCCCGTCCCACCCTGACGATGATCCCTCCCGGAGCGGCGCGGCGCGGCGCGCTCTCTAAAAAAATCTCGGGCACAGTTTACTCTTCTAAGTTTTCCGGTAGCTATTTAATAACTCGGAGTTTGGTCCTCGTGTGTGGTTTTGGACCAGGTGAGCGCTGATGAAATAAGTTCATTAACATACAAGCGAGCGATCGCCTATGGTAAAAGAAAAATTTCTTTTCCCAAATTTCTCTCAAAAGAAAAATTCAAATTTTTTTTCCAATATTCTTCTCTGTAAAATTATTTTCTATGGAATGTTTTTTTTTGTAAAACCAATTTTTCGGAAAAATTCGAATTTTCTTTATGTGACAGAAAATTTTTTGGGGTGGGGGGGGGGCTATTTGTAAAACGAACATCGTAATGACCTTAACCTTCCTTCATCGGCGCTCACTTGGTCCAAAACCGCACACAGAGGACCAGGCTCCGGGTTACCTATTTAGGGTGTTTTCCGGTATTTAGGGTGTTTTCCGGTATTTAGTGTTTTTCCGGTGTTTTCCGGTATTCAGTATAAAATGGTGTTTTCCGGTTGTTTTTCGGTGTTTTCCGGTTGTTTTCTGGTGTTTTCCGGTATATAGTATTGCCGAAAAAAATTTGGGAGAAAAAAAAATCGGAAATTTTTTGGGGGGGTTGGGGGGGCTATTTGTAAAACGAACATCGTAATGACTTCATCGGCGCTCACTTGGTCCAAAACCGCACACAGAGGACCAGGCCCCGTGTTACCTATTTAGCGTGTTTTCCGGTATTTAGCGTGTTTTCCGGTATTTAGTGTTTTTCCTGTGTTTTCCGGTATTCAGTATAAAATGGTGTTTTCCGGTGTTTTCCGGTTGTTTTCCGATGTTATCCGGTGTTTTCCTGTGTTTTCCGGTATATAGTATTGCCGATTTCTTTTTTGTTTGTTAAAACATCAGTGAAAAAAAAAGTAAAATTTCCCTCATAGCACACTGTATGGCGTATGCCCGTCTTCATTAGCCAAGTTTAGGAGCAGAACAGTAGGACGTTAAACCCCATTTTATTTCATTTCATTTCATTTCATTTCATTTGTGTTTGTTAAAACATCAGTGAAAAAAGTAGTAATAAAAGAAACTAGACACATATCATATTACACCTATCATATACACATAGACCTATAATTATTTTATTATGTGAATAACCTATATTTTTTAAATAAAGAGTTTAAAATTACAGATTATTCTGTCCAAAATACCAAAGAAATAACTGACTTGACGTCAAATCTCTAAAATTAACTGTGAAATTACAGAAAAGTAATGACGAAAATGGTATATAATGTAGGCCTAAATACCGAATTTATAATTGGGATATAGGCCAATAAAATATAGTTATATAATGTAATCCTATGTTTTATTACAAATAAATTTGTGCTTTTATTCTCTCTGAAATTACCATTGAAAAACAGCATTGTAAATAGTAAAGAAGAGAATGTGATATAGGTCTATAATGTAAGTAGTTATTTGTTTTAAAAATAGGATATAGGCCAATACTATAAGTATTTAAAAAAAATAAGATATAGGCCTATAATATAAGTAATTCTTTTTAAAGAAAAATGGATATGTTTATTAATATAAAGACCCCACAAAAAATAACTTATATATAGGCCTATCTTTGTACATTTTTAAAATTACTAGAAATCGGACGCATATATAGGCCTATATGTGAATAGCCTTTTTTTAAAAAAAAAAAAAATAAAGACTCTAAAATGACAGATTATACTGAAAAGAAAAACAAACTAACTGGACAATACATCATGAGGTTTTTTTTTCCTCTAAAATTAACTGTGAAATTACAGAAAAGTAAAAGAAGAAAATGGTGTAAGGCCTATATATTTCTAAAGAATAAATTTGGACTGTTTTGTATTTAATTAACATTGAAATACAGAATTTTAAATTGTAAAGAAGAATATGGGATACAGGCTTGTAAAATATGGAGGCTATACTAACCGGAAAACACCGGGAAATACCGAAAAACACAGGAAACAACAGGAAAACAACCGGCAAACTACCGGAAAACACCATGCTATACTGAATACCGGAAAACACCGGAAAAATACTAAATACCGGAAAACACACTAAATACCGGAAAACACTCTAAATAGGTAACCCGGAGAAGGGCTATACAATAAACCGGAAACTAACCCTAACCCTCACCCAGGCACACAGAGTTCCAGGCTCCCGGTTACCTATTTAGGGTGCCAGTCTCCGGGTCACCTATTTAGGGTAATTTCCGGTATTTAGTGTGTTTTCCAGTATTTAGTGTTTTTCCGGTGTTTTCCGGTATTCAGTATAAAATAGTGTTTTCCGGTGTTGACCGGTATATAGTATTGCCGAAATATAGTTATGTAACGGCAATACGCAATATGATATAACTCAGCCGTAGAGTCTATGATACTGTAAATAGCCATTGCACGTGCAATTCTCTACACATCTATCAATTATTACAGTCGTAAAAAATCTATTGTTGACGATTCTGTATATCAGTAATATTTAGCTTATTGGTTTTTACAGCAGCTTTAGAAATTACGTTCTTTTTATTTTTTAAATTGCTTTATCATTAACTGTACCGTTAGCAGCGGCGTCTTTTGGTTTAGTACAAATAATATCTCTGAAATACTTGCGTTGGGCAAGAACATGATACTAGCAGTAGTTTCATTTTACTTTTACAGGGTTCTTAAAACAATTGTTGAGTTGCCCAACGTGCGTGTTTCTAAATTCAATTTCTTGTTCCAGCTTTCTGCTATGTTTCGTAAAAAAGTAGTCTTGGTTATCCCGGCCTGTCAATCAAACGTAGAATGGTCGGTAGACTGGTTAAGCGAGACTTCTTTCAAAACAAGGGCACGTAACCTATTTTTTTAATCACATGTGCTCGTATGTTATGGCCGACACTCGTAACCATCTTTCAGTGTATTATTTATGGATGATTAAATGGTAATACCTTATTAAGTACAGCATAACCGTTTATTTAGTGACTATAAATGTTTGAAAATGATTTAAGGCTTGGTTTGGAGATATTTATTTATGGTGGGGTACCCTAACAATTTTGAATTTTAACTTTTTATCCTTTTATTTGTTACATTTTCAGCCCAACTGGTGGCACATGCCAAGCGCTGCACTGTGCATGTTCAAGTTCATGGTTTTGTGATTCACAATAGGTATACACGTGCTTCAAAAAACTGTGAAATCCATTTGCGAAAGAGCTGGATTCAAAGGAATTTTCACCAATCGTTCTTTGAGATCCACGGCAACTACCCGACTGTATTCCAATGACTGTGATGAACAATTAATTGTGAAAAAAAATGGCCATCGCTCGAATGCCGTACGATCCTACGAAAGAACTAGTAGTGATCAACAGGCAACTTTTAGCTCAATTTTACAGGGACAAACTTCAAAGAAATTTAAAAAATGACAAAGGCGATGAAATACAAAATATCGACAAAAACCGATCGCAGGATGAATATTCAAGCAAACGACTTCTCATTCCATGTAAAGTTTTGATTAGTAATTCAAATGTTGTGAATAAAAACGTTTACTATATTAAAGTAAAATTATTATACATAGACGGGCTATACTATATACCGGAAAACAACCGGAAAACAACAGAAAACTACCGGAAAACACCATGTTATACTGAATACCGGAAAACACCGGAAAAACACTAAATACCGGAAAACACACTAAATACCGAGTTATGCAAACCTCTTCATGGCGGAGTGGGAAAGGGAAGTTCTGCCACTCTGTCCATTAAAACCAGATTTCTATGGGCGATTTTTAGATGACGTTTTCATAGTCTGGACCTACACACTAGACGAATTTTTGACGTTTTTCAACATTCTGAACAATCATCATCCATCTGTCAAATTAACCGCAAATGTAAGCCATAACAGCATAGATTTCCTTGATACTACCGTTTTTAAAAGTAACAACACCAAAATCACAGGCCAATTGGAAACTAAAGTATTTTTCAAAGAAACCGACACACATCAATTATTGTTCAAAAGCTCCTTTCACCCAAAACATACATTCTCTGGCATCATAAAATCTCAGATTCTCCGTTTTCATAGGATATGTACTCAGAAGACCGACTTTGAGTCAGCATGTACATTGGTAATTAGCAAACTAAGGGAGAGGGGATACTCCAAACGCTATCTACGACGTATAAAAAACAACACTCTAGCTGAGCTTGCCGCCAAAGAAACAAATAATATACAATCAGCACATAAAACCAAAATTTGTGGCCATCCAAGATGTCAAACATGCAAAATCTTTAAACATATCCGACCATTTCCATAACAAAACATCTGGCACAAAATTCCCAATATTAGACCAACTTTCATGCAGTAGTTCAAACATAATTTATCTAATTTTATGCAGAAAATGTGACAAGCAATACGTAGGGGAGACTCAAAATACACTTAGGGAAAGAATTAACGGTCACCGGTCTGATATAGTCTCCAAAAAAGACAAACCTGTCTCAATTCATTTCAACCAACCAAATCATGACATTTCTGATCTCATTGTCACGCCAATAGAAAAGACCAAGAGCGACTTTGAAACTTCAGAAGAAATTAAAACGTTTAGGCTAACAAGAGAAAAATTCTGGATTGACAAATTGAAAACAACAGCCCCCCTAGGTTTGAATATTCATACGGCTAGCGCAATAGTCCCTTTTGTAGTTCCATTTAGCGCAACAGCAGGAAGTGCATCCAAAATCACCAGAAAACACTATACTGATCTCCAAGAAAATCACCCGAAAATATTCACACAGAAACTTATAATTGCATATTCTAAAAATAATAATCTGAACGACATCCTAGTGCACAGTAAATTAGATTAAATAAGACCAGTCTCCACCCTGACCCAAAACAAACAATATATTAAATCCTATCCCTAACCGTTAGTAATTAAAATCAATTAGATATAAGAATCCCTAGCCGTAACCCGGTGATGTGGAACAAACACGATTTTTTAGAAAATCCAATCCGTAGTAGGAAACACACTAATGTGGCTCTCTCCCGAGAGAGAATTTATTTTCTTTTTTCTTCAGAAACAATAATACCAGAATACCAGAAGCACCACCCAAGGAAGACCATCAGCGCCACCAACACCAATAAACAGTGAAATAGCCTTTGTATATAAATCTAATGTATTGTATGTATTTTTAATAAAACCAGGAAATATCACGAACTAATTTTTCATCATCCTAGGTCAGTGCTTATGTGGAGACTTAACCTCTCCCCCAAATTCTTAAACCTAACCCTCGCCCGCGCCAGGCTGTTGTCAACCTGGTTCGAGATATTTCCTTTATAGAGATAGTCAAATCACGCCTGTATATATAATTTTGTTCTTCACAAATTCTATTACTCTTATTATTTCATAATTTATGCCTTATATTTTTATATTATAATATTTGTTAGCCTATGATGCATGTTCTTCTTGATATTATATTATTTTTTATGTTATATGTGCCATTTAAATAGTCTCCTTAAGCAATGTATATAAATATTAACAACTTTAGTAAAAGTCCATCGACTAGAATTGCATCATAAAATTTAAACTCAGTTTCTATATTTATGTCCATACTTAATATTTCCTCGCCTTAACTGATTCTCCCAAGCAGACGGGCCTATTTGTTCCATCAATAGCTAAAAAAACCGCTTAATTCCCTATTTAAATCATTAATTTCCATTATTCAAAATCCTTTCACTGTAATCACTAAACTGATCGACCGATCACCAATGCAAACACGGCAGAAATTTAAAATTAAAACATTCATTATCTTTTGATCAAATCCAATCATAACAATGAGCTGCCATACTGAATACTCATCTTAATCTGTTCAATTTACTCATCACTTCAATTAAAGCCGCTACTTAATCATCCACTCAATAACTCACAAACATATCACTCATGTGTTTAATTAGAATCAGGGCTTGCCCAAATTAATTTTGAATGGCTTATCTCTTCTTGATGGCTACAAATAGGCTAGAAAGTTTCAATTAAGTTAGACTATCATCGCTTGATAAAGGATACCACTCCGAAAAGTGCAACAGACTATCATCGCTTGATAAAGGATACCACTCCGAAATGTGCATCGCGATATAATCGAGGAACTACCCATCTATATTATATGTAAGATTCTTTTTCTCTCTTTATATTTTTATGTATTTTTATTTTTATATCTGTTAATAGTTTTAAATTGAACAATTGACATTACACAATATACTATACTGTGTAATTAATAAACCTCAAAGTTCAAACGATTTCCCTTTGTTTCATACGTGTTATATTTCTAGTTTCATTCCGTCACGTTACCAGTACATATTGTGAAATCAGTACACGCTTGAGCACGAGCTCTTCTATCAATCTACTCACATACGTCGAATATCTAACCTTGTCTCTCTGCTAATTTACTTTTTGTCTCGCATTTTCCATTTCTCAGAACAAATACCACAGTAAACAAATACTGCACAACATTCTATATAGATACATTTTATCCCCTCCCCTCTTCTCTTCAATCTCTACTGTATCTCGTCTTTATAGCTTTCTTATCTTGTCCCAACCACCCCCAGAAAATGCAGGTGTCGTGAAGGCCTTCTTTCAGGTCCTCCAATGCCTCCACCACTTGACCATTATGGAGAGTCAGGAGAATGGAACACCAACCAGAAGTTTTACTTGGAAGATCCAAGACCTGAATAAGTTCGTAAAGCCGGCCATGAAGACGTCTACCATAGCCACTACCATTGAGACATTGAACTTGAAATGGGCCAAGGACGTCGTCTCATCCCTGTCGACACACTACCGAGCCGTGCTAGCGGAGAAACTGGAGTACTTGAAGTCACGTCACTTTACCAAAGATGCTGTACAAAAGTACTCTAGCCACGCCCTAGCATGGGCCAAGAAGTCCTACGGCAAGCGACTTCAGGATAGTGTGAAGGCAGAGTTCCACCGCCTACTGTCCACGGTCTCTAAAACTGTCATGCCCCCTCCCCCATCACCCATGCACATTACGCACAACCTTCTCCGGGACACACCAAAACGATACACACCCAACAAGAGAAAATTATCCCCTGGAGAAGGCACTTGCATTAACACTCCCTCGAAGCGTGCAGCTAGATCAACCAGTTCGCCCCGGGCTGTGTCTGGCTCACCTACTTCCTCGGGATCTATATCGCCACTAAACGCGCTTGTCGACTGTCTGTCCCCTAGATCGCCCATCATTCCTAACCAGTCACAAAAACCAAATCTCAACCGGCAGAGATAAAAAATTATTCACAGCAAAATCCACATGGAAACCACCTAAAAAGTCATTATCACCAGCCATCCTAAAACCTTCCGACGAAATGAATATAGAACTATCATCCCTTCAACCACAATCACAAAAACCAAATCTCAACCGAGCAACTAAAACAGCATTAAACACCCTTAAAAAAGACAAAAACATAATAATTAAGAAAAGCGACAAAGGCTCGTGTTGTGTCATAATGAATCGCGGAGACTATATCTCAGAGGCAGAAAAACAATTAAGTAATCCTATACATTACACTAAATTAGACCAACCCATCTTTAAGGACACCGCAACTTTAATAAACAACATCTTATATCAATTGCAGGATAAGGAATACATAACAACAAAACAATATGATAATCTATCTGCTAAATCTGACTGCCGACAAAGACATCTCTATACACTACCAAAAATACATAAAAATTCAGAAACAGAATGGTTTATACCTAATAAAATACCCAAGGGACGCCCAATAATATCAGACTGTGGCAGCGAATCATACAACGTATCACAATATATAGACCATTTCTTATTACCCCTAGCATGCCAACACCCATCCTACCTTAAAGACACTAACGATTTCATTCAGAAAATCAAACAGTTAAGAGTCCCCGAACACACCGTTTTAATATCCATCGACGTACCAATCATTTACACGAACATTGATAATAACACGGGTATTGAAGCAGTTAGGAAAGCATTTCTTAGGAACCCGCAAGCATCCAGGCCGGACGAAGAAATCCTCAAACTACTCGACATTTGTCTGAGGAGGAATGACTTCGCTTTTAACGACCAAGTATACCTTCAGTCTTCCGGAACTGCGATGGGAAAACGATTTGCCCCGAGTTATGCAAACCTCTTCATGGCGGAGTGGGAAAGGGAAGTTCTGCCACTCTGTCCATTAAAACCAGATTTCTATGGGCGATTTTTAGATGACGTTTTCATAGTCTGGACCTACACACTAGACGAATTTTTGACGTTTTTCAACATTCTGAACAATCATCATCCATCTGTCAAATTAACCGCAAATGTAAGCCATAACAGCATAGATTTCCTTGATACTACCGTTTTTAAAAGTAACAACACCAAAATCACAGGCCAATTGGAAACTAAAGTATTTTTCAAAGAAACCGACACACATCAATTATTGTTCAAAAGCTCCTTTCACCCAAAACATACATTCTCTGGCATCATAAAATCTCAGATTCTCCGTTTTCATAGGATATGTACTCAGAAGACCGACTTTGAGTCAGCATGTACATTGGTATTTAGCAAACTAAGGGAAAGGGGATACTCCAAACGCTATCTACGACGTATAAAAAACAACACTTTAGCTGAGCTTGCCGCCAAAGAAACAAATAATATACAATCAGCACATAAAACCAAAATTTGTGGCCATCCAAGATGTCAAACATGCAAAATCTTAAACATATCCGACCATTTCCATAACAAAACATCTGGCACAAAATTCCCAATATTAGACCAACTTTCATGCAGTAGTTCAAACATAATTTATCTAATTTCATGCAGAAAATGTGACAAGCAATACGTAGGGGAGACTCAAAATACACTTAGGGAAAGAATTAACGGTCACCGGTCTGACATAGTCACCAAAAAAGACAAACCTGTCTCAATTCATTTCAACCAACCAAATCATGACATTTCTGATCTCATTGTCACGCCAATAAAAAAGACGAAGAGCGACTTTGAAACTTCGGAAGAAATTAAAACGTTTAGGCTAACAAGAGAAAAATTCTGGATTGACAAATTGAAAACAACAGCCCCCCTAGGTTTGAATATTCATACGGCTAGCGCAATAGCTCCTTTTGTAGTTCCATTTAGCGCAACAGCAGCAAGTGCATCCAAAATCATCAGAAAACACTATACTGATCTCCAAGAAAATCACCCGAAAATATTCACACAGAAACATATAATTGCATATTCTAAAAATAAAAATCTGAACGACATCCTAGTGCACAGTAAATTAGATTAAATAAGACCAGTCTCCACCCTGACCCAAAACAAACAATATATTAAATCCTATCCCTAACCGTTAGTAATTAAAATCAATTAGATATAAGAATCCCTAGCCGTAACCCGGTGATGTGGAACAAACACGATTTTTTAGAAAATCCAATCCGTAGTAGGAAACACACTAATGTGGCTCTCTCCCGAGAGAGAATTTATTTTCTTTTTTCTTCAGAAACAATAATACCAGAATACCAGAAGCACCACCCAAGGAAGACCATCAGCGCCACCAACACCAATAAACAGTGAAATAGCCTTTGTATATAAATCTAATGTATTGTATGTATTTTTAATAAAACCAGGAAATATCACGAACTAATTTTTCATCATCCTAGGTCAGTGCTTATGTGGAGACTTAACCTCTCCCCCAAATTCTTAAACCTAACCGTAACCCAGGCACACAGAGGGCCAGGCTCCCGGTTACCTATTTAGTGGCTATACTATATACTGGAAACCGCCGGAAAAGACCGAATTATATCGGAAAAGACCGAAAAACAACCGGAAAAGACCGAAAAACAACCGGAAAACACCATGTTATACTGAATACCGGAAAACACCGGAAAAAACACTAAATAAACACTTAAATTCAAACTATTTATTGTATTTTCACAGTTACTGTTCTTCCAACTTCATTCCGTCACGTTACAATTCAGGGAAATTACTATAAACGCTTGAGCACAAGCCTTAATCAATCCGCCATTTAATTCCACATTCTTGGTCTTAGCATCGCCGAATATCTGCCAAAGAAATGAAATGAAATGAAATGGAGTTTAACGTCCTACTGTTTTGCTCCGAACTGGGCTAATGAAGACGGGCATACGCCATCCAGTGTGCTATGAGGGAAATTTTGCCCGGACAGCGGCACTACGGCCTACTCTTATATCGAATTCCAACTGTCAAGGGATCTTTTACGTGCACGCCAATGAGTACACGGGACCTCGGTTTTTCGTCCCATCCGAACGACTAGACAGCTGTCCTTGTCAGCCCCTCCGTCCTGCATCACTGACAAGGGAGAACCACGCCGGAAAATCGGGATGAACTTTCTCGGCCAATGCAGGGATCGAACACCCGACCTCCAGGCTAGCGAGCCAGCGCCCTACCCACTTAGCAGTGACAAATCTGTTTCTAAGATGACGTAATCGTATTGCTTGATCTTCCTGGAGTGACGTCACACGTGGCGCTCCCACCCTTGGGCGGTCGGCAATAGTTCCAGTTTGAAGCACTCTCATTCTAAGAATAATTATTGTCTGGCGTGAACAATTAAAGGCTCTTGCAACCAGACTGACCAGCATAGAGCCTACCATAGCACGTAGACGTTCTACATTTGAAAGGCGCGGTATTTTCTAACAAAGTTGAAAATAACAATTTTAATTTGTTTTTCCAGTTCAAGTTACATGTGCGTGTTCAGTTTAAGCAAACTTGCATCGATTGACCTCACGAGTTTGTGTTTGCACGTGTTTTTCAGGTTTTTCATCTTTATATGCTCAAAAGTCACGTGATCCACGTGACTTTACAATTTTATGAAATTAAAGGCTTCTTACTACTTACTATCGTTAGAAATACTTTAAAATTTATTTAGTTTAAACATATTTTATTGACAAATATCAAAAGGATTGAGCACAAGTTTCAAAAACTTAGAAAAGCCCTTTCCATACATAGAAATGATAGACATTATTTAATACTAACAAGATTTCGAAATAGTATATACAATAATAAATAATTTATAAGTAATATAAGTAAAGTCAGATGAATTATATCTCAAAGCTCTATATAAAATAAGTGAAGAGGTGATAAAGAGAATATAAAATTATATTTAAAACATTGAAAAATAAAGTTTAATAAATGGGATATAAATGAACTGATGCATGTATAAAATGATAAAAAGAAATAATAAAAAAAAAAAAAAAAAAAAATGGGGGGTGGGGGGTGCGGAGAAAAAAAAAAAAAAA